AAGGAACCTGGGGAATAACAGATATTGAAACCTTGATTGAAACATAGGTGTTCAGGGTCAAACATCACAAATTGAAACTATACAATAATAGCTGATCACAAAACTTGATAATTGCATCTTGACTTAGAGGGAATTCATAATAATATAGAAGAGCAAAATTAGAGAGGTAAGTTCCTATATGTAGTAGGTACCTTGGTTCAGTACCAAGGTAGGGGTGTTTTTTTGTAACCTTTTTCCCTTGCTTCATTTCATGATATTTTATTAAGGTAGGTACTATCATAACTGTTATTATTTACATATGTTTTTCTTTGAATATATTCTGTTTCTCATTTCTACCTGATGATACTTATATACCGGGTGGCTACAGAAGTATTGCCTATGGAATATCTCAGTTATTGTATGAAGTAGGTTTGTGAAATTTGGAGCGTCGATATAATGACATATGAGCTAGAATTTGAGCATATTGACATGTCGAAGTTAACTTCCGGTCTGACCGGAAGTAACATCAACTTTCTTATTTTAAATGGAAACCCTATTTTTTCTTCTTTTCGCTTTATTAAGCATTCAATTCCCTTTCTAATGACATATCACAAGTCGGTATCTAACCAGATACTAGATCAGAAAAAAATTATTATTGAAATTCACCGAGTAGGCCGTGGAAGCAAAATGAAAGCCAAAAATTGAAAAGTTGGCTATGGAAACCATACATCACTTGATAACAGTTGCTACTACTGTGATATTTTATTTTCATTCGTCGGCGTTATAAAAAGCCGCCAAAAAAAATATTGGAAAAATTGGGCAAAAAACAATACTTTGTAGGTCCATAACTTAAATAGGAACATACAACTTTTTCTTGCCTGTACTATTCAGCATAACCATTCCATTCTAATGATATGATGGAAAGTCATTTTTTGAAATGAAATCCCAAAAAATCCAATTACTATTCTTCAAATAACAAAAAAACAGATTTATCGAAAAAAAAAATTCAAATTGATAGGAATAAAGATAAAATAAATTCAAAACAAATGTTCGAAATGCATTCCCTCAGCGTCAATACATTTATTGACTCTGGTAATATTTTCATGTAAAACGGTTCTCAACATTTGGGGCATGATATCTTGGAAAGCTTTAGGAATTTTTACTTCTAGCTCATGTAGAGTTGTAGGCTGTGTGGAATACACCCTATTTTTAAGATGCCCCCATAGAAAAAAGTGGCACCAAGTAAGATCAGGTGACCTTGGTGGCCACCTGACTGGTCTAGTTTCTGGTTAGATACCAACTTGTGATAATATGTCATTAGAAAGGGAATTGAATGCCGAATAAAGCGAAAAAAAAAAAAGGGTTTCCATTTAAAATATGAAAGTTGATGTTACTTCCGGTCAGACCGGAAGTTAACTTCGACATGTCAATATGCTCAAATTCTAGCTCTCATGTCATTATATCGACACTTCAAATTTCACAAACCTACTTCATACAATAACTGAGATATTCTGTAGGCAATACTTCCATAGCCACCCCATATATAAGAATGCCAAAAATCAATCAATGGCCTAGAATGAAGATAATTTCTGTGTTCATATAGAAGTAGTAGTATTTTTCATGATGTTATCAAACAGTGGAACCAAGAGTAGAACTGGATATTTACATGTTGCACTGCACTGCCCTAGTACTAGTACATTAAACTGAGCATTAAACATTGAAAAATACTGCTCAAATTATTGATTAACTTCAATTCTTGAATATCCTCACCAATATTAAAATCATTGTTGTCGTTGTCCAGTCTAATTCTCAACCCATCTTGAGAAACAACTCTTGTTGCTGGGGCTGAACGACCAGCACCTGAGCCTTTTCCTCGAACCATAACAAATTTGACCGTTTTCCCACCAAATACAAATGAGTTACAAATACGAGGAACGCTTGAGAAATACTAAGTGCAGGGCATTAGAAAATAAATCTGAAATTCAAGTCAAAATGAGAATGAAAATATGAAACTTATAACCTAAAATGTTTGGCCAAGACCACAGAACAAGATTTAGTTCCGTGGCCAAGACCCACAGGACAGATGACATTTAACAATTTTGACATAAACATTGCGTTGATGCAGTGATGCCAGCAAAAATTCATTTCCACCGGAGATATGTATGCAGTGGCGTATCTCTACCAATTTGTTCCTGCTTTGTTGCAAATGAAAAAATTTTCACTGAGTATTATCTGCAGTTGAATTGAATTGACACTGAAAATAAATGATGTTATGCAAGAAATCCTCGATGCATGAAGACATCATGAGTCGAATTCTCTGTGTCATTGACACTTTCAAAGAATCACATATACATATATATATACCGGGTGGCTACGGAAGTATTGCCTACGGAATATCTCAATTATTGTATGAAGTAGGTTTGTGAAATTTGGAGCGTCGATATAATGATATTAGAGCTAGAATTTGAGCAAATTGACATGTCGAAGTTAACTTCCGGTCTGACCGGAAGTAACATCAACTTTCTTATTTTGAATGGAAATAACCCTATTCTTTTTTCTTTTCGCTTCATTCAGCATTCAATTCCCTTTTGAATGACATATCACAAGTTGGTATCTAACCAGAAACTAGATCAGAAAAAAATTATTATTGAAATTCACCGAATAGGCCGTGGAAGCAAAATGAAAGCCAAAAAATGACTTTCTATTATATCATTAGAAAGGAATGGTTATGCTGAATATAATAGTACAGGCAAGAAAAAGTTGTATGTTCCTATTTAAGTTATGGACCTACAGAGTATTGTTTTTTTCCCAATTTTTCCAATATTTTTTTGGCGGCTTTTTATAACGCCGACGAATTAAAATATAATTTCACAGTAGTAGCAACTGTAATCAAGTGACGTATGATTTCCATAGCCAACTTTTCAATTTTTGGCTTTCATTTTGCTTCCACGACGGCCTACTCGGTGAATTTCAATAATAATTTTTTTCTGATCTATAGTTTCTAGTTAGATACCAACTTGTGATATGTCATTAGAAAGGGAATTAAATGCTGAATAAAGAGAAAAAAAATAGGGTTTCCATTTAAAATAAGAAAGTTGATGTTACTTCCGGTCAGACCGGAAGTTAACTTCGACATGTCAATATGCTCAAACTAGCTCTTATGTCATTATATCGACGCTCCAAATTTCACAAACCTACTTCATACAATAACTGAGATATTCCGAAGGCAATACTTCCGTAGCCACCCGTATATATGAAATATGAAATTTCAGGATGTTTTTCGTGAAGAATGGATATCTTTGGATACTATCGAATGGAAAGGAAAACAAACAATAATTCGAAAGTCGAATGATATTATCTCACCGAATATAGAAGAGAAGATACAACTCAAAAATTGAGATATATTCTAATGACGGATTTTTTAGGCGACCTTTTGAATCACCCTGCTGGCACACATTGTCATGTTAATTCACAAATACTAATTATTGGAGCCTGTATAGAGAACTATAATATATAATATAGAAATCACCCGTTTCGATAGGTGATATGAAGTCTTTATTGTGGTTCCGATTTTCTGCATATAATTGCGAAAATATGTTGCTGTGTAGATTATTGAAATAAGACACTGTTTTTGTGACAGTTCACAAAAGATATCATATTATGTATATAATAGACCAATAAGCGACCATGCATGGTCACTCTGCAGTGTAATCAATCGATAAAAATGCAAAACCATTTCGAGGTATGACATATCATACTGAGATGAGATGATTCATGAGGAAGCCAGAAGAAAAATTCTTGGACGAAACGGAATCACTCAAAATTCATCGCCCTCTGTGGCTGAAATATTTTATTCCCCATTCTTCATTTTTCTAATACTTATAACATGATTCTGAAAAAAAATTAAATGAGCACCGGAAATCTGAAAACCGAATTGAAATAAAACAATAAAGTTGAGTTTTCTATATATATTTTTTTTTGGTAGGGGTTGCGGGGATTTTTCCGATAGGCAAATCGTTCCTTAGGTCTATTTGAATGATTTCTACCCTATGTCATCGCAGCAGTTTTTTATTCACACCCCCAATAGTTATTTATTTTACAAGGGAAAAAAGTAGTAGATTTTAGCTCCAGGTTGTGTTGTCTCCCGACGCGTAGCGGAGGGAGACAAAAAACCGTGAGTTAAAATCTAATATTTTTCCCGTGTATAATACACTTTTTTTTTTGTGACAGAAGGAAGGACGAATCAATATTGAGAAGATATTACATTATTTCGAAATCTGAAAATTATCGACGTGAAATTTCAACTTTTCAACAGTAGGGACACCTGCGTTTTATAGGCATCTTTATCATTCTTTTGAAGTAATCAGATAGCTGATGTCACTTCTGTCAGTTCAATTCTGTGATTTGATTTTAAAAAATTGCGAATTCAGTAGTTGTTTAGTAATATACGAAACCGCAAAGTCGAATGGAAGATAAAAGGACTCGCAGTTCTTTCTCGGAGACGGTATTATTGACTCATTTTTCGGAACTATAGCACAACAAAAGCCATTAACAGAGTGTATATATGTGATATATATCCGGGAAAAAAGTACTAACTTTTTTCCTACGGGAAAAAAGTAATTTATGGAAAGGGATATTTTATAACCTGCCAACAGAGATGAAATGCCAAACTTTTTTCCCGTCACAGAAAAAAATAATTTGTTTATGTGTTAGTATTGGATTTATTATAATAGTTAGGTATTATTTTGGATAGGTGTTGCAGGGATTGTTTCTATGGTCGAATCGGCAATTACTTCATTGGGCATGTTGAATTTGTCCAGCAGTTCTTTAAAATTATATAATAGGTACCCTCAAAATATTGTTTTGTATTTGAAGGCATGAAAAAAAAACATGTTGTCCGCCACTGGATCTTCGGCAATGTTCGGAGATTTTGGCTGCTATCTTAGGCTGCCATTTTCACACAGCTCTGCTAAAAGAGTTAAAAAGTTAAAACCTCAAACTGACACTAACAAACCCTTAACACCTTTGCAGTTTGCCCAAATATATAATAATAACATTTACCAAAATAAAGTCTCAAATAATAAGCAATAAAGTGCTTTTCATTCATTGAACTGATATCCTCATAAATGGTGAGTCTTCATATTCTTTCAATTCTCTTATAACAAATTCAAGTCTCATTACAGTCTGTAACCCTCCACACTGATTTGGGAAATTTAAAGATTGAACTCTTCTGCGAATCTTGTCCCAAAGCTTGTGAGAACTTCCTAGCATTATGTGCTAGTGATTATTATAATGGTTCCCTTTTCCATAGAAATATCAAAGGATTCATTGTTCAAACAGGGGACCCAACAGGAACTGGAAAAGGAGGCACTTCAATATGGGACAAAAAGTTTGAAGATGAGTTCAAAGAACAGTTGAAGGTATGTAACTGCTAATGAATTTCTGCTGTAACTGAGATACTGTATAAAAACATAATAAACCTATTATTATCATTCTCCTTAGCACAATACTAGAGGTATCATTTCAATGGCCAATAATGGACCAAACACAAATGGTAGTCAGTTCTTCATCTCTTATGCTGTACAGCCACATTTGGATCTGAAATACACAGTTTTTGGGAAGTGAGTCTAATAGTCCTATTTGGTATGGCTGTTTACATAATGAGATTTCAATATTTCAGAGTCATTGATGGTTTGGAGACATTGGATGAACTTGAAAAAGTACCAGTCAATCCAAAGAACTTCAGACCTGTGAGTGATATAAGAATCAATAGTGTAACAATTCATTCCAATCCATTAGCTGGTTGACTAATACATGTTTGGCTGAATAAACTGTTAGGTATGATTTTATATGTTGAATTTGTTATTTCTTCATTCATTGAAGGTAATTCCATCATCAAAGCAGATTATTTGCTATAAAGAGCTTGTCAGAGCTTCATGGCCTTCAGATATGTGGGTTATTTTATCACACATACAAGAAACTAAAAAAAGTGGAATACTTAGTATCAATAATAAACATCAAAAGATCTCTAAATTTGTGACAAAAAATCAACCTCAATTGTGTCAAATTGCACCTTCATGTTTCTCATTATTCATTCACAATAGAAAATAACACATGGCCCCACCTGATGGCAACATTTGAACACTTCTGAGTAGTTTGTTTTGATTGATATGACCTCCGAACATGATCAAAGGATGTATGTGACCAATAAGCAGAAACAAGAAACAAATGTGAACCAATGAAAACAAAGTAAACAGGCTGCTTCCACAGCTTCCAAATACTCCAATAGATGGCGTAAGCTTATTTTCTATGGCTAATAACATATAGAATGAGACATAGAACTTTTCATTGTCAATTTGATGATATACACCTATAACATTATACAGGGTCAGTCAGAATATGACTGACAAACTTCCTATAGGGATTCCTTGTCCAGGATAGTTAGCATTTCAGCTCGGAATTCATTGAAGAAAGTTCAATTTTCAAAGTACAAAGTACATTCTCTTTGTAAGTGCATGTACATGAAAGTCTGCATTATCTCATGCACTGCTAATTTGTTTATTCATCAATAAACAGTCACTATAATCAAATTAGGTATTTTGGCTGTTAGGATAGGGGTAGGATAGATGCCAATTTCAAGTTGATAAAGCCCATTCTTCTCATAAGTTGTTCTTTGACAATACATATAAACAATAAATTTGACGTTATACAGGGTGTTTCCTTGGGAATGGTAAATACTTCAACTGTGGATAGGAGTCATTGAAGGGATTTCAAAAAACCAATGGTTAATGGGTCTTCCACATCTTATAAACGAGATGTCTCATCAATTCTGTTTATGTGTTTATTGCCTCATTACTTTCCAACCAACCTGTATATTTTTTTGAAAATTCGTACAGTTACTCAATAATCTATCCTGTGGAATTGATTGAGGCATCAACTAAAGAAAAATCCAGAACCGGCATCACTTGAAATTCACAAATTCTTTCTGACTGAAAACAACACCCAATACATTTGAATTTCTCAATTATTTCGCCATATCAGAAAAGAAAAGAGCACCAAAACGTATTCAATGATTTACTTTTTATTCATCCACAGACGAATCAAAATTCTCATGTTATGTGCTCAAAATATTGGAATTGAAAATAGACAATATACAGAACACAAATTTCGAAATACAACATACCTATATAACCCATGCACTACCTATCAATGTATCCGTCGACTACCAAACAAAACGAGAAGAGCGAAAATGGTTATGATACAAAAATATTGTTATATAAGTTAAGTGAAAATGATTCATTTCGAACTATTACGGTTCTAGAACTGTCAGGAGTTTGCGCAGTAGAATCAGTCGCGTTCGGGTTTTGTGGAACTGTTCTAGGACTGACTCTTTACGCGTTCGGGTTTTTCCAGAATCGTCCTGGGACGGTCCTAGCTAAAACTATCCGAAACCAGTACCTGCTCTCGAGCATGAACCCTTCTAGGATTATTTTTGGCGCATGCTCATTTCATTTAGTTTTCGATTCTGTCTGTTGTAGCGTAACATTATAATGATATATTTTTGTTTATTCAACTGTTTTATTGCTCTTTTCACTATTTTCTCAATATTATGAAGTTATTAACATTCATTCGATAGTAGTAGTTCTTCATCTTCGGAGGAGCAGTGGTGAAGGAGATCCTTTCTGAAGTTGCTGAAAATATTGTACCTTTGCTATTATATTCAGATACACAATTCATTGAAGATAATTTCAGGTACAAGGGACAATAAAACATTGAAAATCTAGCTATGAATGCTATGATGGAATATATTCACCATTCCTCCACAGAGGGCTTCCAGAGATATTGTGAATAGGCTTATAGGATAGTTTGAAGCTTCAGAATATTATTCGAATAACGATACAGGTTCCAAACTATTGTTTTTCTCGCAAATTCTGAATAGAGGTTATGTTCTCAGAGGTTCTCTTCTGCCGCGTTCGGGTTTTCATAATTTGTTAAACGTTCTGAAGCAGTCCTAGGGATTGGAAACGACTGCGCACTAGTTGTACGTATAGTTCGAGAACGATTCTTGAACAGTTCTGAAATCGCAACCCGAATGAACCTTATAAGAGAGATATAAAAACAATTCTCCACGCAGTGTGGAGTCGGGATGCCAATGTAAATTTGGCAACGAAATCTCTGCAGAGAGGGAGCTAGAAGCAGGAGTATACCGCAAGGTGCGGTCCTTTCACCACTACTTTTTTCCATTTTTACCGCATATAACGTATGGTCCGAAAGTTTTGGAACAAAAATCAGATGCTGACAACTCTTAGAAATAAATTTTTATAATGTTAACAAATAATCTTACAATATCTCTCAACTATTCTTATCACTACCTAAAGTTCAAATAATCGACAAGGGACCGTTGTCTTCGATCTGCCTGAGTTTTCCTCTGACGCGTTGCATCATCCTTTGGACGACCCCAGAGTTGATTTCTCTGATTTTTCCCGATATACGACGTCGGAGTTGTTCTTGATTTCGTGCTTTCCATCCGTTATTGTAGACTTTCCGGCTCAATATTGCTCAGAAGTCTTCAATTGGGCGTGCCTGAGGTAGGTTGGGGGGATTGTGTGTGTGTGTGTGTGTGTGTGTGTGTGTGTGTGTGTGTGTGTGTGTGTGTGTGTGTGTGTGTGTGTGTGTGTGTGTGTGTGTGTGTGTGTGTGTGTGTGTGTGTGTGTGTGTGTGTGTGTGTGTGTGTGTGTGTGTGTGTGTGTGTGTGTGTGTGTGTGTGTGTGTGTGTGTGTGTGTGTGTGTGTGTGTGTGTGTGTGTGTGTGTGTGTGTGTGTGTGTGTGTGTGTGTGTGTGTGTGTGTGTGTGTGTGTGTGTGTGTGTGTGTGTGTGTGTGTGTGTGTGTGTGTGTGTGTGTGTGTGTGTGTGTTTGTAAGACGGGGTTTACGAGGACAATAGCAAGTTCAAATACTAGGTAGCGAGGACATTTTGGCATGCGAGGACCGAAAAAATGTCCTCGCAGATATCTGTCCTCGCTATCGCCTTATTCAGCTTATTCCGATCATTTCTATACCTATATCATGAAAATTTGATGTGTCCTCGTAAGACGGATCCTCAACAGACGCCCAGTTCCGTCACACACCGATAGGTAGCGCATCGAAAAAACTATATACACAGAGTATCCACCATCTAGGCCTAATGCGAGGACAATTGATACACACTGTGTGTATAATGAACACCAATGGAATGCTCCCATTCAAAATTTGAATGAGGCTGACGGAAACTATACACAACACTGCTAGCGAGGGCACTGAATCCAGTAAAATACATAATATCCCGACAGTTGTTTTCAGTAATAAGGTAGTTTAGCGGAATCGTTTTATAATTTGTGGTTTTGTACTAGGTAGCTCGAAGTATTAATTTGTTATTGTCTATATATTTCAAGAGCTAATGCTCAGTTTTCCTACCACATAACTTATAGTATCAAGATGGAATATGATGTGATGTCTAATAAATAATTTCATCTATTTATTACGGAATGTCCAAACGGAGGACTCATTAGTTTTCTTACTCATGAACCGAAGATAAACTTTCAGATATACCGGGTGACACAGACACATGGTATACTTCCATTTTCTCATTTGTTTTTCTAGCTATATTTCTGGAATTCGGAACATCGCATATGCTCTCTAGAGGACACTTTTACACATTTTCTCACCTTCTCACCTTCTAGTTTTCCAGGAAATGACTTCAACTTTCGATTCACAAACGAAACACCCTATATTTCATTTCATAATTGGTTAGAGATTATTATAACGGATTCTACGATACCAGGTTTGATTGGGTTATTTCAAATGACCACGAAGATATTTGAGTTCGGAGTTTCCATATGATCAATGGGTGTGACGGCGCAACATCGAAACTTCTATTTCTGTCACACACACGAAATATCTTGCAGAAAACATTTGCATTAGCTGCCTTCGTGTAGCAAGTCCTGAAATTATTAAGTGAACATGTGAAAAAGAGGGGGTATTCCGGAACAATTATTCAACGTATGCTTTTTCACTCAATGCAATTGAATTATGTGGTGTGCATACATTAAATGATTTTTCCTAGTGAATACAAAAAGTGCATGTGCAAAAAATTTTCACAGCGCATGTGCACGCCACGATTGTATGCAAAGTAGTTTATCGTGATACAAGTTACACTAAAAATAGGTCTGTGAAAAAGCATACGTTAAATAATAGTTCAACAATACCCCTTCTTTGTTACATGTTCACTCAATAATTTCAGGACTTCTTACACGAAGGCAGCGTATGCAATTATTTTTCTGCGGGATATTTTTTTCAAATTTCAACGAAGACCAATTTGCAAGCATTGCAATTAAGTTTTCTGACACTAAATAATTAATGCTTCACTTTTCTCAATACCCGTTGACCATGAATTTCAATTCACTATTGTGAATACTGATTGATGTTTTCTCAATCTAATTTGACTAAACTGAGTGATAGTCGGTGCACACTATACCGACTGTTTCAATATATTAGAGATGTTCGGTATTATGTCGATTAATGTTGCGACTCAAGGTTACTAAGAATTATTGTTTTCTTTGTCTCAGCTATTTTACCAAATATTAGTAGTAGTTACGATTTATTTTCGCTTTTGTGATACTTTTGAGTTGAATGTGTTTTTAAAAAATATTAGAGATGGAATGTTAGTCTCTGTGAAAATATTTAGCATTTTATGTTTTTTGTATGTATTAAAATGTACCTACCCAGGAGATATTTTCTCTGATTTCTTCATCCTCAACCAAGACCCTTTCAAAGCTATAAGCTGAATTATCTCATAATATGATGAGATTGAACA